ACAATACATCATCAGTGTGTACCAATATTAAACTAGTTTGTTTAAACTTAATACTTTGTGTGTGTGTGTATATATATATATACACACACAGAGAGAGAGAGAGAGAGAGAGAGTCGTTTGTCTGGTGAAAAAAATTTCCCTGGAATCTAACCCCCTCATTTACATTAATTCTTATGGGGAAATTGGATTCGCTTAACATCGTTTCGCTTAAAGTCAAATTTTTCAGGAACATAACTACAACGTTAAGTGAGGAGTTACTGTAAATGGTTTGTGTGTGTTTGAGCAGGAGAGCCAAGCATTATTTTGATTATCTTGGAGAATTTTGTGCATTCCTTAACTCATGATCTTGCCCTAGGTTTTTTCTTCTAACAAGCAGAATATAATCTGGAGGTAATGTTTTAACACCGGTACAACATATCCTAATTTTAATGGCATTTCCCAAATCTTAATGGGATTTTCCATTTGAGCAGTGAGAAACAATGAAATAGTAGACCTATTTTCCCTCACACTTGTTTTTCAAAACTACTTTTGGCATTCTTTTTAAACAATGCAATATTTGTTCATTTTTACTACTTGGATGCACTGAAATAATCACTTTGATTAAGAGAGAACAAGTTAAATCAGAATGCTAGCAATTTCCATTTGGCTTTACAAAATGGCACACCAATGTGCCAAGAATGCAAAGTGATAGTCATGTGGCTGATCAAATACTGTATTTCACAAGTAGGATATTAAAACTTATTACACTTTCATCAGAGAATCTCAAGAGTTTTACAGGCATTAAATAAATGTGGTCCAGCACTGCACTACTATTTTTCACCATTTTATAGTTGGGGAAGTTAGGCAAAGAGAGGTTAAAGGTGGGATTTTCAAAGACTATTAGCCGAAATCTACTCCCACTGAAGTGAAACATTAGGTGCTTTTGAAAATCCCACTTTGAGTCTTGCTCACAATTAATCAGGAAGTAATTGGCAGAGATTGATAGAGCCCTGCAAATCTGCAGATATCCGCTTTATAGTAGGGTTACCATATTTCAACAATCAAAAAAGAGGACGGGAGGAGCCCCGCCCCCATCCTGCCCTAGCCCCGCCCCTTCCACTCCTTCCCACTTCCTGCCCCCTCAGAACTCCCAACCCTCCCCCGCACTCCTTGTCCCCTGACTGCCCCCTCCTGGGACCCCTGCCCCTAACTGCCCCCCAGGACTCCACCCCCTACCTAAGCCTCCCTGCTCCTTGTCCCCTGACTGCCCCCTCCTGAGACCTTCCCCACATCCTAACTGGCCCCCTAGGACCCTACCCCTACCCGTACCCTGATTGCCCCAACCCTTATCCACACCCCCACCCCCTGACACGCCCCCCCCAGAACTCCTGACCCATCTAAACCCCTCTGCTCCCTGTCCCCTGACTGCCCCCTCCTGGGACCCCTGCCCCTAACTGCCCCCCAGGACTCCACCCCCTACCTAAGCCTCCCTGCTCCTTGTCCCCCGCCTGCCCCCCCCTGCGCCCCCC